GGAATGTTTTTTGGGAAGAATTCAAGTTTTGATAAGTTATACAAGGCTGAGGAAAAGCCCCCTGCAATAAATTGCATCTACTTGAATGTTTATCATTGACAGAGGACAGGAAACAATCAGAACTTCTGTGTCATAAAACAGTGTGGATCAGCAAATGTGGATCAGATGAACAAGCAGAAAGAAAAAACACTGAGGCATGGCTCAAGGCCTGGGACATAGCTTAAGTCAGCTAGTAAAAAGGAGCAAGAGGTCAAGTAGACCAAGGTAGATCAATACTGATTAGTCCAGGATATAAAAAGAGCAGAAAATGATGCAAAGTTATGCAAATGGATAATTACTCCAAGAAACTATGGAATAGTCTTAATAACCTGTACCTTAGTGTCGAAAAATTTCTGAATATTGGAGAGATGAGGAACACACCCAATGTATTAGTCTCAGATAAAAAGAAAAAATTGAACAAATTCACCAATGTGACTATACACTGTTGGCACTTTCATGTGTTATCCCTTTACATTTCTGCAGTGTAGCTAAAGGCAGCACAGGGTTAAAAGACAAAGCAATAGTTTGTATTCAGTGCTACAACAAAAACTCTAACCCAATAGTTTAAAAGTCCAAGTTCACAAATTTTTAATATATATGGAGAACATAGCAGTTCAAATGGATCTTCATGTCAACTTGCATCTAGGTCACTTGGCCACATTAGATCTCAATTTTCTTATCTCTAAACTCAGGGGGTTGAGAAAGTTGACCTTTAAGGGAACTTCTGACTATATTTAGGACCAATCAATGAGTTTAATCATTCTTAATCTCATTTTGTTCTGATGTGTTACAAATTTGATTCCTTAAGGGAAAAAGAGATGAATGTAAAGTAACATTAAGCCACAGACTCCAAGGAACTTATAAAATATAAGATATAAGAATAACTGCATCACTTCCTTTATTCAATTCTTCTTTTATATTCTTTCATATTGATTTGCGTGGCCACTTCAATCTATAAGTGTAATGGGGTTAATTAAGGACCTCATATAATTTGAAAATGTTTACAAGATGACACACTTTCGGTTGCCAGTCCCTCTGTGGACACTGCTATATTAATGACACAATGTTTGTGTTAGAGGTCACGGTGCTGTTTGCCAGGTCAAACATTTGTAATCTGGATCCAGCTTTAATATATCCTTTCAAGGAAAGCCACAGGCTGCCATACACTACATCAACAGCACTCTTCAATTGAATGGTTTGTCAGAAGCAACTAAGCCAACAATAACAGGCACCTTATATGTGGATGTTAATTAGAGTGTTGACGTACTAGAAACCTTTACTAGAGACAAGTCAGCGTTCAGTACTCACAGCCCAACATCATGCAGGAGGCAGAGCTGTTAATAGAATTTGTCCCCAAAGTGACCAAAAGCAGAGCATACAGAGCTCTGGCCCTGTCTGTCTCCTGTGGCAGTGGTGAGTGTGGGGGTGTAAGTTACTGGCTGCACACTAGCTTGTGATGACCACACAGTGGTTAATTTGTATTTCTCCTCTCAAGTTTCGTGTTTAAAGGTCACTCTTCTGTTTACTAAACTATAGATAGGAAAGCAGGAGCATGAGAGAAACCTAAGTCTGAACTTCAGATTTTCTATCAGCAAGATTTTAGAATGAGTTCCATATTTGTTTTACCTTTACCACGATGATTTTAATATCATCTTATTTAAATCATGTCTCATTCTTTTGAATTTAAATTATCCACATATCTTGTATTTGCTGATTCTTAAGACGCCTATAGAGTTTATTTTTTTTTTATTTTTTTTTCTCAATGGAGAAGAAAGTTTTTATTTAGCAGCCACGCATAACTCAGAATCTTAACACATGAAGAAACATACATGCAAAGTGACAATGAGGAAGTTTAAAGTTACAATTAACCACCAGCTATATTTTGTCAGTGAACACTCAAGAGTTTTCTAAGTTATGCTGTAAATCATGTCATTTCTTG